GCCACTACTTACCAAGGGTTACTATGACAACCACCTGTATAATTTTACTAGAAGATAGTACCACATACCAACAGGATAACACAAGTTTCAAGACCCTGTTTATTGCTAGCTGTGGAGGGGTTACTATGACAACCATCTGTATAATTTTACTAAAAGATAGTAACACATACCAACAGCTTGACCAAAGAAGATTTCTTTATCAGAAGCAATAGTATAGCTTTAGCTTTTTACAAACTTCTTAACAAACATTTAAGTATTTTTAGTCACGGTAAATTAGTTTTTTGTTTTATAGCTGATTTATCAGGGCAAACCATACAAGTTAACTTAAAACAGTTGCAAACGCTCGGAATAAGATCACCTGAAACTATTTCTCAGGACGGTTGACGTCACATTTAAATGGAAGATACAGGCTGACACGACTTCTTCTTCTGTAAGAGAGACGGTGAAATAGTATCACAGGTTGTTATTAAACTGATAATTCTTGTAATCAGTAAATTTTTATCTTTTTTTTCCCCACATTAAATACAGAGAACGACTACAAGGAATCCGGCTAGTGATGAAAACACTCGGAGCAGGGTTTCACCAACCAGTGGACGAAATCCACAGCCTTTCTATGGTAAGTAGTGGCAGAGGGATGTCAGTAAACTTTCCATGGTAAATAGTGGCAGAGGGATGTCAGTAAACTTTCCATGGTAAATAGTGGCAGAGGGATGTCAGTAAACTTTCCATGATAAGTAGTGGCAGAGGGATGTCAGTAAACTTTCCATGATAAGTAGTGGCAAAGGAACGTTAGTAACCTTTCCATGGTAAGTAGTGGTAAAGGAATGTCAGTACATTTTAACCTTTCCATGGTAAGTAGTGACAGAGGGATGTCAGTAACCTTTCCATGGTAAATAGTGGCAAAGGGATGTCAGTAACCTTTCCATGGTAAGTAGTGGCAGAGGAACGTTAGTAATCTTTCCATGGTAAATAGTAGCAGAGGGATGTTAGTAAACTTTCCCTGGTAAGTAGTGGCAGAGGAACGTTAGTAATCTTAACATGGTAAGTAGTGGCAAAGGAACGTTAGTAATTTTTCCATGGTAAATAGTAGCAGAGGGATGTCAGTAACCTTTCCATGGTAAATAGTGGCAGAGGGATGTCAGTAACCTTTCCATGGTAAGTAGTGGCAAAGGAACGTTAGTAACCTTTCCCGTCCACAGCTAGCAATAAACAGGGTCTTGAAACTTGTGTTATCCTGTTGGTATGTGTTACTATCTTCTAGTAAAATTATACAGGTGGTTGTCATAGTAACCTCGTCCACAGCTAGCAATAAACAGGGTCTTGAAACTTGTGTTATCCTGTTGGTATGTGTACTATCTTCTAGTAAAATTATACAGGTGGTTGTCATAGTAACCTGTCCACAGCTGGTAATAAACAGGGTCTTGAAACTTGTGTTATCCTGTTGGTATGAGGTACTATCTTCTAGTAAAATTATACAGGTGGTTTTCAT